CAGTACATGGGCTGGATGGCGGAGAGGGCTGCGCTATCGCTAGCGCCCCGGCCCCTGGCGGACCGGCGAGGACCGGTTCCCCAGGCTCGACCAGCGCCTGAGGAGGTATGCTCCTCGAACGCTGGGCCTGTGCTCGCGCCCAGCACACGCACGTGGCTCCTTGATTGGCCACGTGGTGTCTGCTGTTGGTGACGTGGCTGTCCATGACGCCCGGACAGGGGTACCGCCAGCAGAGATTGAAGACGGCGATAAACATGGCGGCGCAGCACTTCGGGAACGAGATGGAGGTGGATGAGGAGTTGCAATGTGGAGATAGTTTTTACTACACAAAGATCTACGATACTAATGATGACGTCTGGTATGGAGAGGACGATGGGCATGATGAGGTGGACGTGGCTTCGCAATCCTTTCCGCAGTCCACGTGGAGGGCGTGATTGGTGACGATGAGCAGGAAGAAGGAGACGTTGACAATAGCGAAACAGGCGCGCTGGAGGACGATGACGTCGTTGGCTACTTCGCGGCCATCAATTCGGTGTGTGGGGAGCGCACACCAGAAAAGGATTATCAGCGAGGGGAGTGGGAGTATGGGATTGGTGAAGTGAGAGGGTGGGACGTGGAGTGGGGGCAGAAGACAACAGTGACACTACCGGTGACGACAACAGCACGCATGTTAATATCATCATCTACAACAGCATCTCTTGATGTTGACGATGTCCCTCAGCCTCAGCGGGATGCTGAGGAGAGGGTTTATATTGCCCTCAATGAGGAGGGGCTGACGACTATCGCTGAGATGGGGATGATGGGAGGCAACGATGTCAGTAAGGGCGGGAAGGGTGTGCAGGGCGAGAAGGACATCAACAACATCGACAACGACGATGAAGACAACGACAACAACAGCAACAACAATGACAACACCGACGTGGATGAGGGTGGAAAGGGTGAAAAGGGTGAGGAGGGTGCGAAGGATGAAACTGACAACAACAACAACAACAACAATAACAATATCAACATCAACAACAGCATTAATGGCAACACCAATATCAACAATCCAGACGACGGCGATGGCAATAACCACGAGAGCAGCGGTGCTGAGAGGGGAGCCGATGCATCCAACTTCAGCATCATGGGGAAGATGCTGCCATCAGTGCAGTGGGGGGGAACCTGCTGCTTATTATGGATGGCGAATTGGGGCTTGAGGCTGAAGTTACGATTCACCGTTCCTCTCCACCCTTGCATGGTGTTTATCCACGATGAAGTGTCTCTTCATTTCTGGCACCGGGTGGGGATAGGATAGGCAATCTCCCTGCGATGAATGGGGCTGATTAAGGATTGATTAGGGATTGATTCCCTCTCATCTTTCTAACCCTCAATTCCTAATCCTGAAACGGCTGTGGGGATATATGCTTCGTACGATTACTACCGAGCGCCGATCGCCTTCCCAAAGGATGTAGATATGATGATACTTCATGGGCACGAGGTCAATCCTTCCCTGTCGCAGGGAAGTAATCAATGCCTCTGCTCTTTTTTKAAATAGAAGCTGACATAGGAAAAGCATACACACATCGATTTGACTGATAYGGTTTACACATTTCATTTCACTTCATATCATACATCATACACATCATATGTARTACATCTAGGTTAGGGTWTCGTGRATTTGCATAGGGGTGCTGGCCCYGTTTTCCRGTGGATACGTCCACATCACTAAACAGGGACGCTGGACCCGATTTCCAGCAGATACACTTTTACAATTGTACAGGGAAGCTGGACCCGATTTCCAGCAGGCGTAGCTCCCCACCAATAGATGGAGCCTTCGACCCCGGGTCCTACTTACCGGGGATGCTCTTATCACCTCGGTAAGTACGTTTGACTGACCCTTCGCTATGACTAGGGCTAACCTTTTTTTTTTTTTTTTTT